AAAAGCTCAAGAACTCTTCTAAGTGGCACTTCTGCTTTGTATTGTGCAACTAATAAATTATAATCTATCACCACAGAACAGCCCAGACATCATATGGAACTGAGGTCCCCATGCACATATGTCACAAATTATATAATCTCTGATCTGAGTATGACTTATGAATTATTTGTAAGATTCCTTATGACGCTCAAGTGTGTCTTTTATGTAACATCTCATGGACATGTAAACCCGTATATTAATGACATTTAAAAGGCAAACCCTGTTTTAGTCATATATGTAGGTTTCAAGGATTTGTGCTGTGGTGGTAGGGAACATAAGGTGGAGCTTCCATCCAGGTGGAAAATTTGCACAGCTGGTCAAAAAGAAAGTTGGCTTCACAGAGGTAAAGACATTTCCTGCTGTCAAAGCTAAACCCTGATCCAGCAAGGTGCTCAATTACAGGTTTAACAATCTTGAGTAAACTCACTGGTCTTGAATTAGGTATATCCTCAGGAGTGTTGCTGGGCTGAAATGAAAAGTTAAGAGAATTTTAAAATCGTATTTCCTTTGTTTATACACTAGCAAATAATAATTATAAAATCACACTGTATTATTTTCAAAGTAGATTTCTTCCTACAAACATTCAACATAAAGCCCTGTATACCGGTACAATGGCAGTTAGGTATCTCAAAAAATTACTCAGAGGAAACAGAATAACATACAAGAGAAAACTGCAAAAGAGACTGGGATTTGCAGGCCTTAAAAGAAAGCAAGGTAATAAATGAAATGCTCCTTACCAGCTACTCATAACTGAGGCTACTCAGCAGCTGTTTTTCCTGGAGGAGAACCAAACACTGCTCAGCACTCAAAACTAGTTTGAATCCAAATTGCACCTTTCAAACCTCATCTTTTCTTCTGTAGGTCACTTCAAAAATAGTGTGATGAGCCTGATTTACAGCACACATCTCCAGAACTTTTGCCAGCCTCAGCATCTTCAGATACTTTCAGATTAATTATTTTGACATCAACTATTTCATGCAGTAACTCAAAGCTTCCCTTGAGATCACCTCTATCGAATCCAGGTATATCAGGTGTATTTCTGCAAGAAATTGCTGTTGAAATTAGTTTCACTGCCAATCCCTTGCTTTCAGGATCCTTTACTTAAACTTCAGTTCACTCCTGAACTGAAGGTGAGAAATGCATGTTTGAATGCAAACGGTGAGTTCTATTAACCTGATCCAATCTTCGTGAGGAAATTGCTTTGTGATCTCATAGCAGTAGATTAATTACTGCTGCTTTTGAGAGAAAATACTATGTGGAATTGCAAAACTTACATGTCGATCTACAAAACAGTTTGAAATAGCAGTATCGGTCTAGGGGTTTATATATATATATATATATTTCGGTCTGATTTTTTTTTACAAAGTCAGGTTCCACCCAAGTGGGTCTTTTTTTCAGATATATTGAAAATCATCCTGAAACAATAAATCATTTTCTCCCAAAAGGTTTCAATTATAATCAGCAGTGTAGAACAAGGTAGTGGCTCAAGGCTGCTGAAAAGTATACTGGTTCTTAAAAAGCCCATCAAGTTTTAAATCATTGCTGTAAATTATTTTGGTTGCATTCATCTCCTATTTCAGACCACTCTACTCTCACTTTCCTAGTAAACAGGCAATGCAGGAAGCCTGCTCAAACTGATCTTTTTCTTTGCAAACTATTATACCATACTTCAAAACCTCAGGAAGGTGATTTCAAAACGTTTCAGCTGTTCAGGAACCCAGACTAACCCAATGAAATCTACTGACCTCACATATGGAAAATAACCAAGTAGGAACCAGTGTGTATATCCTCTTTGAACTTCCTCTTACACATTTCAGGCATAAGAAAAAGACTGAAAAGGAAAAGCATTCCTTCCTATAAACTTTAAGCTTTACAATACCATTCGCTTTCCGTTCTCAAATTAAACCGGAGCTCACATTTTGTTATGGTCTTGAATTGTCTGCAATAATAACACCTTCCCCCCTTCCAAAATATAGAAATCAAGGCATAACTAGGATCATAATGTTTGGGGTTGTTTTAAACCACTTAGGAAGTCTGCAGAAACTGTACTCCCACAACTGCTTTGCATTGAGAGGAGAATAGGTTCATGAAAGGAACAAGAAATCTTTGTTTTAGGTTGTTTAAGATGCAGAACAAAGGAAACTCTTTGGCAACAAACAAGCCTTAACAGACTTTAGAAACAACAAGAGTCAAAAAAAAAAAAAAACCACACACAAAAAACACAACCTTCTCTTACAGGATATGAAAGAAACAAATGTCACAGCATTCCTCAAGCTTTCTATGTTTTTTTTCCCAGGCACTACCTGACATGTTCCCAAAGCCACAGAGGACTCCATCTGAAAAGATGTGTGCATTCAAGCCCCTGCCCACTCCACCGTATCTCTTAGGAAGTGTTCAGAGAATTGCACACTCATTTCCAAAGTTCAACTTCCTGGATATTTGTGTCCTGCTGACTCTCAACAGACAGTTTTTCTTCCGTAAGTGCACAGCTTTGTCCTCTTAAGTGCGATATCTTTGGCTGAATGCATCCCTTTCCAAACAGACTCTTTTTCCTGAAAGATCAAGCTTTCGTTTGTTGTTTTTGTTCCATTCACTTAGAGACCAGCTGAGTGTCCTGATATTTCTCTTCATCATATTTCCATTGTTTCGTAAAAGACTTTTGCTGCTCTCTTGCCTCTGGGGTTGGTCCTACATGACTGAAATGTGTGGGAGTCTTTCTATTGAGATGCATGGAGGCAGAAAGGGATCCTCAAAGCAAGGTAAGCTGGTGCTAGCCCAGTTTGGTCTCATTTCTGACCAAATAATGCATTTACTCTTTGTATTATCTGATTTTGTTTACAGCATACGTTCTGGTTTCTAGTAAAGATATAGTAGTCAAATGTAACACAAGAGAAAAAATAGAACATGTATAAACTTTTCAAAATTATTATCTTTTCCTATCAGTTAAACGCACAATAGAGAATTTCATAAAACTCTTCTTGACTTCCATCTCCAGAACAGTATTTCAAGCAAGTGAAGAAACCTGGCATTCACATTTGAAGTGTGTTTGAACTGACAGAAAGCTTTCATCCATAAATTCATCCACCATAATGCAAAATTCATCACTACCTTACCTTTACCTTCTCTCTCTCTCTATAAGGATAAAAAAGTGTTATGAATAGATGAAACTGAGGTGATAAATGTGCTGGAGCATGGAGGGAGCCGTTTCCCTTACAATGCTCCCACATGAGCCAGCACAAATGTATCTGCTCAGTTTCTCAGGTGACTGGAAATACTAGTAGACCCAAGAAAAAGCTGGCATTCTTCTTGACCTCCTCATCTTCTCTGCAACAAAAAGTCTTCCTTTCAGCCTATGGTTCAAAAGGCAAATTAGTGTTTTTTCACTAAGATCTAGAGAGGAAGCCCCAAGATGCAAGGCCTAGTTTGCATCCAATCCTCACACAAGCCCCTTTTTCTGTGCATAATGATACATAATTGAATATTTATTTATATGTCTCTTTTGCGAGGTCTGTGGCACTGATGGAGTTATGAGATGAATCCATGAGATAAAAAGGAAATCTTGTGTACTACTCTCATGAGAGCTGTTGTTATGGTTTAGGAATGGTACTCCCCAGTTTAGTGTCCCCACTGAAACTCCAAACCATGCTGCCACTCGCTCGCTCCCCCTGTCCCTCTCCGTGCTTTCCGTGGGGGGCTGAAGAGTAGAATTGGAGGCACAAAAGGTGAAGATCATGGGTTGAGATGAGAACAGTTTACTGGAAACAGCAATGAGATAAGAAAACAAATAGTAGCAGCAACAATGCAAATGACAGAGAGTACAAGAAATGAAAACATCACTACTCACTGCAGAAATCCCAGACAATAGAAAATGCCCAAGTGCTCCCTTCAGCTCAGAACCCAGGCCAGACAGAATAGCTTCTTCTTGGAAGAGACTCCTTTCCTCCAGCCAAGGAATGATGTGAGGTGTTATAAATATCCTCTGGGTCCTGACCATTCCCCTCCTGGCTAGTGCAAAAATTAACCCTGTCCTGGTCAGAACAGCTTGATGCAAAGTACAGGATAATGTCTTGAATTTACAAGACGATGAGTGAAGGGAATGCAAGAGGAATGACACCACAGCTGCCAGTTCTGTCTCCTGTACTATCAAAACGTCATGAGGAGTCTCCATGAAAAACCCAGGCTATGACAGAGCTGGCAATGGTGGACTGATAACACATTTTGGCTCTTTGGGTGAAATGAAGCCATAAAACATTTTGACACACAAGACATGACTCAGAAAGGCTGCATCAGGTAGTGGAATCAGCTTTCTCAGGATGAAAAGGCAGCATCTGAGAGTCTTTGTAGCTCTCAACCCAAGACAAAGAAAAAGCATGGACAAAACACATTACTCAGAAAGCCATATAGTTGTGCTCATTTATGTATTTTTTCCACAATGGATACTGTTTGCTTGCAAATTTCACCAACTGCATAGCATTTTAGGGTCATCCAATCATATTATCATGTATGAGACAGTAACTGCACTTGGTAGTATGGTTGTCATCTAGCTGGTGGGTTTGTATGCTCTCACATAATAATTTGCACTGGCTGCTGTAAGACACTTGTTAATAACCAAAGAATCACAGAATCAATTAGGTTGGAAAAGACCTCTTACCCTAAAGGCCAACAAGACCCTAAAAACTACAGTCTATGAACTAACTTCTCGAACTCAGATGTCCTGCACTGCCCAGACCTACAAACAGTAGCAAATGGGAAAGATCTGGGGCTCAACTTTCCCCGAGTCTGTGGTGGCTACAACCCTGAGCCTGGGCTCTCAGGTAGGTAAAGCAACCGACTGGCTTCACGCTTTTCCCTTTCCTTGTGATATGGAGCAGGCAATGCCAGTCCACAGGACCCAGCCAGCATCACAGGGGGGTGCCATGCCATGGTCCTTTGTGATGCAGGTGCATCACACTGCTCAGAGGCCATTGTGACACGGGTCCCTGCCCTGAGTGTGGGAATGTTTAAGGAACAGAGAGCCTTGGAGGTGCCCAGTCCTAAGGAAATACCTCCCTCAGGACTCAGCAGCTCGCCAGGGCAACCCTGGCAGGTCTGAGGCAGAGGATGCCAAAGGTAAACATGGACAAGGAGCAGCTGGCAGCACACATGAAACAGGCACATGGCAGGGCTTCATCAGCTTCCCTGGGAAGGGATGCAGATGCGCTGAGAGGCCACTGGGAGCAAACAGCACAGCAGGACGCAGCAAGGCCGTCAGTGTGCATTGAATACAGCCTTGGCAGTATGTCAGGGGGTCACAAGAAGAAGGAGACTGTTGTAAAGCAGGTCATTGTGTCCTTCAAGAGGAAGCCTCCAGAGGAACTGTGCAGGAACTGCCTGACCCACACCACGTGCAGACAGGCTCCACTTCGGAGAGCCAGCCTGCCACAGCAGCAGGATGACCTGGAGGACAGGGAGCTCCAGCAGCCAGAGAACGAGGGACAGTGTTTCTCCCGGAGGCAGTCAGAGGTTCTCTATGGAAGACCTGGGCAGGTGGGTGCCAAGGATGGAATGAGACAGCCTAAGATAGGACGTGACAGGTCCATGAGCTTTCCATGGACCACACGACAGCAGCCACAAGTTGTATATGTGACGTTCACGAAGGGCACCATGAGCAAGCAGGAGGCGTTGGAGTGTCTGGAAGCCCATACTGCCACCAGTGAGCCAGTGGCTTTGGCCGAGGAGGAAGAACGGGAAGAGGGTGTTGACAAAAAGCTGTCCCAGGAGGACAGGTGGGAAGATACAATCAGCAGACAACTGGACCTGAAACTAAGCATGAGTGAAGCAACAGTAGCAGAAACACCTGCAGGACATACCTACAGATCTCCTTCCCTCACAGTCATTGATGCCCTGGCTCACGAGAGGCGGACGTCCTTCCAGAGGTCACCAAGGGCTCTGCACAGGGCCTCCACTGCCACAGAGAGCAGGAGAAGCAGCAGGAGCAGCCTCTGTCCAGAAGAGAAGGAGAAGCAGCACACAAGAGATTGCACACCGGCTCCGCTGGACACAACCCAGTACATCACGGGTGAGGTCGTACACAAGGCTGTAACTGCGATCCAGGAACCAAGTGAGCAGAGAGAAGAGCAACAGGACCTGGAAG